AGGGCTTGGCGTAGGCGGGAGGGATATTCGGGGACGATGGAAGTGTTCTATATGTCGACTGCAGTGACAGGGACTCCAAAATATGTTGAATATTAAAAGGCTACTTTGTATCAGATGCTTCAATAAAACCAATTTTGAAAAATGAAAACCCAGGCAGAGCAGCTGGGGAGGGGGCGCTGCCTGGGTTATTTACTCACTCTGCGTGCCTCAGTTTCCTTGTCCACAAAATGGGTTGATAATAACAGTCCCACAGCTGAGGGTGGCCATGCAGCTCAGAAGACAGAATCTGAGATGCTGAGGAGGCACCTGGCCTTGAAGGTGAGGCGGCTCCCGGGGAGGTCAGCTGTCAGTCAGCGCAGCTCCCAGTGCAGGAGTTTTAATGTCAGGGATCCTCTCCTCACTAAAGGGGCCTCTATGCTGCTCAGAATGGAGGAACTCACCTCCAATCTGCCTGCTGTGCCTAGTTCCAGCTGCCCCAGCTCCTCAGGATGCTCAGTCCCTGCCTGTGGCTGCCCAGCCACCAACCCGCAGCCTCATACTGTCTTGGGGAGGTAGATCTCTGGAACTTTCCCCAAGGATTCTAATGAATGAAGCCCTCAGAGATGTGGCCTGCCGGCTGGGCTTCTGCCCCCTCCAAACAACTTTCAGATCTTTGGTAGATTGAATTGGGGTGGGGGTGGGGGCAGTTAAGTGGCCAGGCTGCCACACAGCGCTGCTGCTTGCTGTGTGTGTTGGGGACCTACTTCCCACGCTGTCAGTTAACCGCTTAGTATCCGGAAAGGAAGGGTGGATAATTCATATCCTGTCCAGTGTAGACAGGGATCTGATTTCTAGGCATTAAGACTGAGGACAAGTCTGGTGTCTATGCCAAGATTACCAATGTCATGTGAGAGAGAAAACTCTGGGGACCTTACCACCAACCCTGCTCCCCTCCCCCCTCCCACTGAGGCAACCGGACAGTGTGGTGGCTGGATCCAACAGACCCGAGCCAACGGGAAATAATGAGAATAACAATCATTTAGGCCGAGTTGTTGAGATTAAATGAGAAAATGTACAGGGCCAGGGACAAAGTAGGTGCTCTGTAAAAGTGAGTTTGCCAGGTGCAGTGGTCCAGCCCACAATCCCAGCTAGACCCCAGACTGAGGCCCAGGAGTGCAAGTTCAAGGGCAGACTTGAGCGCTCCCCAGTCTCAGCCACAAAGGGGAGGTGGCCGAGGAAGTTCTGGAATGTCGATCACTGGATTCAATTTCCACTTACACACACACACACACACACACACACACACACACACACACGGTCAGTTAGTATTAACATCACCACAGGGTAGCTCATGGGCTTCTGCAGAGGCCCTAGCTGTCATGAAGAAATACCCGGATGTGGGTGAGCGCACACTGATGCAGAAAGACTCAGGACCCGCTACCGAGTGGAAAATGCACGATTTAGAGAAACTGATCAGGGCAGCCCCCTCCTTCTTCATTCACTCACTCAACAAATATTTTGCAATTTCTCCCAGAGGCTGAGATTGGAGCAGTGAGCGCCGCGGACACCCGTCCCTGCTGGGTGGGGCTCAGATGCTCACAGGGTGAGTTGATCAGTAGAAAATATCAGGAGGCTGGGAGAGCAGCACAGTAGAGGCCACACCCGGAGGCTTGGGTTCAAGTCCCCAGCAACACCCCCCAAATCAGGAAGTGCTGTGCTGGAAATAATCCAGGATGATGTGTGTGTGTGTGTGTGGGGGGGGGGGGTCCTGGTACAGTAAATTCTAACCCTAACACATGCCCTCAGTAAGCTGCCCGGCTTCCTTTCCTTTCTCTGCCTCGCTCTCTGCTTCTCTTTGTCAGTACAGACATATTTAACAGGAACCTCTGTCTTGTCCCACCAAGTGTGTCACTTTTAGTAGTATTTTTTTTTTCCTAAATGGCAAAAAGTGTCAGGTGCGGTGGCGCACGCCTGTAATCCCAGAGGCTCAGGAGGCTGGGGCAGGAGGATCGCAGCTCCAACTCAGCCTCAGCAACTTAGTGAGGCCCTAAGCCACTCAGCGAGACCCTGTGGCCTCGGTGGTAAAGCGCCCTGGGTCAATCCGTGGTACCAAATAAATACATGAATGACAGGTGAAAAGCGTGGCTGGGTGGAGGGATTTCCGCCGGGTTTGACTTCCTTTTTCATTCTTTCCCGACTTTTTTTTTTTTCTTTTAAAACAAATTTAAAGTGAAAGCTATAATTGTTTTGTTTTGGTTTCTTTCTGTGGTGGCCGAGGCCAGAGATCTGGGCCATTTAATACCGCTCACAGCAGAACTGCTCAGGGGGGACAAAACATTTTTTTCTTCCTGGTACTGGGGATTGAAGCAAGGGGGACAGGGGGTCTGGTTTACTGAGCTCCAACCTCTGTCTTATCATTTTTTTAAAAAATTTGAGTCAGAGTCTCTGTTGACTGAAGCTGGCCTCGAACTTGCGATCCTCCTGTCTCAGCCTCCTGCGTCTCTGGGTTTACAAGCGTTCGTCCCAGCGCTTCAGGGTTGGCAATTTTTATGAGAATGTTGAGTTTAGGACTTTTCATTTTTAGGACCTATCTCCCTTCCCCGACCGCCCCCCCTTTAAGAAAATACTGGTTACAAAACCCAGAGTCTCATCTCTGAGGTCACCTCTAGGAAGGAGAGTTGGGATTCTTTAAGCCAACTTTCTTGACACCAGGGTCTTCCCAGGAGTTTTGGATTTGGGCCCCTACAAAACAGGTTTTCAGGGGAGCTGGCCTGGGAATGGGGCCTCAGGAAGGCTTGAGTCCTCCACCTTGGCCCCTCAGCGTTCCTGGTTGCCATGGAGACCCCTAGTCTGCTGGGAGAGGGTCAGGCTGGAGGGGCGTGGCTGCGGGAGGCCCCGGCGTGCGCGAGGGCTGGGCGGCTGCTCGCGGGAGGAGGAAAATCCAGCGGAGCCCAAGATCCAGGCTCTGCAAGAGCAAAAAACAACCCGCGGAGCCAATAACTGCAAAGGCCCCGCCGAGACTGTAACCCCTCCACCCCGCGCATCTGTCTGCTTCCTCCTCTCTTTTCTATTTTCCCTCCTCCCCTCTTTCTCTAAATATCTACCTGGTTTCTTTCTGAGTTAAATAAAATCACACGCCATTAGTGAAATAAAATCACACCGGATCGTTTCTATACTATTATCAAAGTCATTAGTGCACCTGGCTTTTGTGTAAAATCACTTTTTACCCCTGCATTTCACTATAAATTGGCTTCCTTGGTCATCCAGTGGATGCCATTCCATGTGTTGAAAGACTGCTCTGAACAGGGTCCGGGAGACCTGGAGATGGTAGTTGCCAGTGGAGGTGTTGGTGGTGGTGCTCCTGATGGAGGATGCTGAAGGGCCCCTGAGAAAGGGAGAGTAGGGTGAGGGAGATTGCCAAGAGTAGGCTGGGGCAGAACTTTCTGTGAGGAAGGACAGCATGTACAAAGGCCCTGAGGCTGAAACAAGCCCACTCTGCCCGGGAAACAGCAAAGGGGCCAGCAGCTGGAGGGGAGGGAGAAGCCCACAGGAGAGGGGAAGCAGGGCCCAGGCTGTAGGTATCCTGGACTGCAGTGAGACCTTTGATTTTACTCTGAAGGAGATGGAGGGTTTTCCAGCAGAGACACATCTGACAGCTGCTTCACAGGCTGTGGCTGTTCTGGGGTTAAGCAGCCAACCCTGGAAGGAGGCCTGGAGTAGCTCAGCTGCTCCTGCAGCGGCCTCGTGTTTATTCCAGCACCCGAGACCTGGCTCAGTGGTCAGGCCTCCACTTAGAGCTGTCTTCAGGCCAGCCTCATCTCCCATCTCTAAGAAAATGGTAGCGATGGTGCCCACCCACCTCCCCAGGGTGCTGCGAGGGTTGTACCCACAGGCGCAGCTCAGCTCACGGGCTCCGCACTCCCTGCAACCGACAGGAGTAGCAGCGCAGCCGTGGTGGTGCGACGGGCCATCTCATCGCAGCCTGCTCCCCGCGGCCCAGGCATTCTGACCCAGTCTGCCGCGATGGGGCCTGGGGGCCTTCTCTTTTATTTAACTTATTTTAATTAACATTTTTGATTGCTAAAAGTCCAAGCAATCTAAAAACGTGTAAAATGAAATATACACTCTCTCCTGCCTCTGGAGGCTCTCTGCTGCGGGGGGGGGGGGGGGGGAGGTTCCCTCTCCCCAGAAATCTGGGGAGTCGGCGCGCCTGTGACCAGCATACAGACACATCTGGACTCCTTGACCTCCACACAAAAGTCAAAACAGTTCTGCTTTCACACCCAGGCTTCAACTGCTTGGGGGCTGGCTGTGTGACTTTGAGCAAGTGATTTTATTTTGGGGTAGGGGGGCTCCGTTTCTCCAACTGTAAAATGGGACTTTTGTCTCATCGTGCGGATTTCATGAGTTAATTCATAGAAAGCACTTAGAATGGCGCCTAGCACAGCGGTTCCCTAAAACTTGCGTGGCCTTAGCCGCTTCAGTTTTCATAGGCGCATAGAACTTCATTATCAGGTTAGGCCATAAAATGTCATCAGTCCCTTCGGATGACCATTTAGGTTCATCCATTCACTCATACTTATTGAGCACAGACTGTGTGCCAACCACCACTCTAGGGAGTGGTACAATAAGACCTGGCACGGACTTCTCTACCCTCAAGTATGGGTGTGCGGGTAGGAATTGCGGGTACCAACAGTTCGGTGGATTTTAAATTGTAATCGAAGGCGCCAATGGCTCTCAGATGATCGGCTCCATTAACATCCTACCTCGGGGCTTGTCTGAAACCTGCACATTTAGGAAGGTAGCTTTGGGGACCGCTGGCTTTGGGGAAAGGTGCTGACGTGGGCCTGCGCCGCCCTTTAGCTAAGAAGCCACCGCCGCAGCTAGGCCCGGGGCGCAGCCACACCCCTGGGGGGAGGGCTGCCCCGAAGGGAGTGGACAGCCCCCCTGTCAGTCTTCCCAGTCCCGGAGTGTAAGCTGAGAAGGGAAGGTGGGCCTCACAGGGGGAGGGCGCCGGGGAACTTCCTGCCCGTGCGCTGCACCGCACCGCCTGAGCGCGCGGGCGGGAGGCGGGCGGCGCGTCAAGGTCAGCTTGGAGCGGGTGGCCGCCTGCCTGGGGGCGGGAGACCCTCCTGGGGGCTGGGCTGAGGCCTCCAAGCTCCTCGGCCATATTGAACAGCCACGCCGAGCCGTCTTTGTCTGCGAAGACCTCTCCCAAGTCCCTGCCGCGTCCCGGGTGCCAGGACCGGGGAGGACTCGCAGCCCTCGCGCGCCAACTTGGAGTCGGGACACCACGTTACCATCTCGGAGCGGGCCTCGAGCCTCGGGACTGATCTCACCCCGGCTCACATAAGCATCCTGGGACTTGATACCCGCCAGCCCTTTGTGGGGAGCCCGACTTGGTCAAGACTGGGCTTGTTGCAGGAGGGGACTTTGGAAGGAGAGGGGAGGTGAGACCCTCCGGGCAGCGTTGCCGGGACCCTCCGCCCCTCTTCCCCCTAGACTAGGGGCTTCCCGTCGTCTGTTTGGGCTCCTTGCCCCCCACCCCAGATATCACCCTGGAGATCTTAAAGACGCTGGAGAAAAGCCATATCGGGGGCTGGTTCCCCTGGGGCTTCCTCCCGTCCCCCGACTGCCTCATCCTCTGGAGCGTCCCCGATGTCTGCAAAGATGTGGATCTGGACGTCCTCGTGGAAGCCCTGAAGCCCGTGGGCACCTTCAAGAAGATCGGCAAGGTGTTCCGCAAGGAGGAGGACTCCACGGTGGGCATGCTGCAGATCGGGGAGGACGTGGACTATCTGCTCATCCCCCGGGAGGTCAGGCTGGCGGGGGGCGTGTGGAGGGTCATCTCCAAGCCCGCCACCAAGGAAGCGGAATTTCGGGAGCGGCTGATCCAGTTTCTAGAGGAAGAGGGCCGCACCCTGGAGGACGTGGCCCGCATCATAGAGAAGAGCACCCCACACCCGCCTCAGCCCCCCAAGAAGCCCAAGGAGCCCCAGGTGAGGAGGAGAGTCCAACAGATGGTCCCTCCCCCGCCTCGGCTGGTCGTGGGCACGTTCGACAGCAGCAACGCCAGCGACAGCGACTTCAGCGACTTCGAGACCTCCAGAGCCAAGGGCTGCAAAGGCCCGCGCAGCCGCAGGAAGGTGCGCAAAATGCCCGTCAGCTACTTGGGCAGCAAATTCCTGGGCAGCGACCTGGAGAGCGAGGACGATGAGGAGCTGGTGGAGGCCTTCCTCCGGCGCGGGGAGAAGAAGCCCAGCGCCCCACCCGTGCGCCGCAGGGTCAACCTGCCAGTACCCATGTTCGAGAACAACTCGGGGCCCCCACAGTCCAAGGCAGACAGGTGGCGAGAGTACGTCAGCCAGGTGTCCTGGGGGAAGCTGAAACGACGGGTGAAGGGTTGGGCTCCCAGATCTGGCCCCGAGGTCGGGGAGGCCCCACAAGCCTCCCCCCGGGCGGAGAGAGATGGGGCGGCAGGGCCCAACCACAGTGCCAGCCCCGGGGAAAACACGGGAAACGCAGGAGATAGGAGCGTGCTGGCCACCTCCTCCAGAAGATGGAGGCCCAAGATCAACTGGGCCTCCTTCAGACGTCGTCGGAAGGGGGAGGCAGCATCCCCAGCTCCTGAGGCAGACATACCAGCTGACCAGAGGGCAGAGGGTGTACATAACCAGGGGGCAGAGGCTCCAGCTGACCAGAGGGCAGAGGCCCCAGCAGATCAAGGGGCAGAGGCTGAAGCTGACCAGAGGGCAGAGGCCCCAGCAGATCAAGGGGCAGGGGCTCCAGCTGTACAAGGGGCAGGGGTCCCAGCTGACCAAGGGGCAGAGGTCCCAGCTGACCAGGGGGCAGGGGTCCCAGCTGACCAGGGGGCAGAGGTCCCAGCTGACCAGGGGGCAGGGGTCCCAGCTGACCAGGGGGCAGGGGTCCCAGCTGACCAGGGGGCAGGGGTCCCAGCTGACCAGGGGGCAGAGGTCCCAGCTGACCAGGGGGCAGGGGTCCCAGCTGACCAGGGAGCAGGGGTCCCAGCTGACCAGAGGGCCAGGGCCTCAGGTGATCAGAGGGAAGAGGCTGGGGAGGCCCAGGCTATCCAGGAAGCCGAAGCCTTAGCTGGTCTGGGGGCCGCCGGGGCAGCCCCAGGGGCTGGGGCTCGGAAACAAGTCAAGACCGTGAGGTTCCAGACCCCTGGGCGCTTTTCATGGTTTCGAAAACGCAGGAGAGCCTTCTGGCACACTCCCCGGCTGCCAACCCTGCCCAAGAGAGTCCCCAGGGCAGGTGAGGCCAGGAACCTCAGGGTGCTAAGGGCTGAGGCCAGAGCAGAAGCAGAGCAGGGAGAACAAGAAGATCCGCTGTGAGGGTTCCCTGGGGACCTCAGAGCATCCTGTGCCCCACCTCCCACCAGCCACTAAGGTACCTCCCTCCCAGGTCCCAGCGGAGCTACTCTCTCCCTCCAGACTTGTAAATAGAGGTGGACAGAGGGACAGGCAGCACCTCCCATATCTCTACCCAGTGACCCTCGTCTTATCTATTGTGCATTTATTTTTTTTTTAATACTATATCCCAAAGAATGTAAAGAAAGAAGCTGATAGGTCAGGGTGGCATTGCCCGGGGTTTTAACTTCTAAGTGCTCAGTTTGAAAAAGGGAGGAGGGCAGAGCAAGGGGGGGACTTCCCAGCCTTCCTGCCTCCATTTTGCCAGCACTTGTAACTTGGCCTCCTTGAACTTGAAAAGAGGGCTTAAGCCAACATGCAAATAAAAGTGTCTCTGAGTTGATGTCTTGGGTCTGGACTTGGCAGCTGACTATGCTCCAGGGTGATTTGGCCCTTGCTGGTGTTCCACTCGGGTCTTCCATGAAGGGGACCCCTGTGTCTATGTCCTCACTTTGGTTAACATACTCTGCCCTGGGCTCTGTGGGTCGGAGGATACAGGGCTCATGGTTTTGCGTAGCTGCACCCCAGTTGGTGACCAGCTACAAAACAATTTTCTGGAAAACACACCTGAAACACCTCTGGGGGCCCTTGGGGTGCTAGAATGTGGCTTTGCCTGTGCTGGTTGTGTGACCCTCTACTCTATACCTGAGGCGGCTTGGCCACCGATGTGTTGGAAAGTCATAGGGACAGGGCAGAAATGGGGTGCAGGGCAGTGGGCCATGATTGGTTCTTGAAATCGGGGAAGGACTGGGTTGCCAAGACCCGGAGGGGGTGGGGGGCTTCTTTGAATTGCCTTGTGGCCCTGCGACCCCTAGCAGTGAAAAACCGGACAGCAACTGTCTACACCCCAACTCTGCTGAAGTTCAGCAAGAGCAAAGGGTATTTGCAGCGAGGGGTTCACAACAAATTCCACCCCCCAGACTCGGCCGCAGAACTGGCCGGAACATCTCTGGTAAGTAAAAATCCTGCCCACCCTCCCTGCCCCTTTTTGTGGTGCTGGGGACGCACCCATGGCCTCAGAGTGCCAGGCACATGCTCTACCTCACCCCAGCCCCTTTTTCTTCCCTGCTGTGCCCTGAGAGGAGGTGGTCACTGGTGGTAGCACACAGAGCCCTGAGTGGCCCTTGGGCATGGACTTGGCCTTTTGTTCACAGCTCAGCCTGACTAGAAAGAGGCCACAGAGGTTTGGGAGAATGGGCAGGTGCGGCCCTGCCTGGAGGGTGGGCTTGGTGAGGTGGACAGGTGTCGGGAGCCACTGAGCAGTGCCCTCCATACCAGGTCTGTGGGGTGGTGGGGCTGTCCTTCGTGGATGCCCAGTTGGGAGGACAGTGGTCTCAAGGCCGTAGGGACCTGAGCAGTTGGAAGGTAAAAGGGAACAGCAGGGTCCCAGAGAGACCCTGGAAGAAATCTCAGAAGGAACAGATGCTGTGGTGGGTCTCCAGCCAACCCCGGCGCTGCCCGCCTGTCCCTGCAGTACCCAGAGCTCAGTGGGCCTTGGGGGTCAGTGGGGTCCTTGAAGGGAAAGGCTTGTTGGCCCTAACAACAGGCAAGATGGATTTGATGTGAAGCTGGATTTCATAGTCATCAGGTCCTCTTGGCGACACTGGGTCACACCCTCGTCACCGCCACAAGTGTGCGTGCACACACAGACCCAGACGCACACCACGATGACCAACTCCTGCCCGACACACGCAGATCCGCACAAACACCTTAAACCCCCAGCCGACATGCACAGACCCATGGACACAAATGTGAGCCCACACATACCCTCGGACACGCAGACCTGCTGGGCCCCATGTACACACGAGAGGCCCCTCACACATTCCCCGCCACACTCACAAATGTCAACTTTTTTTTTTAAATATATAATTTTTTTTTAACATAGGAGATTGAGCCCAGGGGTGCTTTACCACGGAGCTACATCCCCAGCTCTTTTTATTTTTTATTTTTTTTTAAAAGAGAGAGAGAGAGAGAGAATTTTTAATATTTATTTTTTTAGTTTTCGGTGGACACAACATCTTTCTTTGTATGTGGTGCTGAGGATCGAACCCGGGCCGCATGCATGCCAGGCAAGCGTGCTACTGCTTGAGCCACATCCCCAGCCCTTTTAAATATATTTATTTGATTATTTGTAGTTGGACACAATACCTTTATTTGTTTTTATGTGGTGCTGAGGATCAACCCAGGGCCTCCCACGTGCTAGGCAAGTGATCCACCGCAGAGCCACCACCCCAGCCCACAAATGTCAACCTTTACACCCATGCACAGGACGTGCACACACTTGGCTGGACTTGTGCACACACACACAATCACAAAACTCGAGACAATTACGCTTTCACACCCTCTTCCTGGGGCCTATTTTTACAGCCTTCTGAGTAGCTCTAAAATCTGTCCCCCACTGAGTCTCAGCTTGTCCCTCCCTCCAGTGGACACGGCCTTCTCTGCCCTTCGGTCCCCAGCATCCTCAGGGTGGGCCTCCAACGAGGCCCCAGAGGTGGAAGGATCCCTTGGGTAACCCGAGACAGTAACAGGGTGTTCCGTATTGTTGAGAATCCAAGGGTTTTTCGCGTGGCGCCTGCACGGTCACCCGCCCCCACCCCAAAGCAGCCTGGCATCTGAGACCAGGGGGAGCGCGGCCCCCGTGTGCTTTAAACCAGCGGTCGTGGAGCGCCCCCTGATGGGCACTACGGGAGCCGCAGCTCGCTCTGGCTCTTGAGGGCGCTGGAGACCCGGGGCGCCACAGCGGTGGGGACAGTCCTTGGCTGCCACTCTTCCCTCTTCCCTCCCGCAGTTCTAGAACCAGATCTGGAACACCGCTTCACGCCTGGAAGTCATGTGACGCCCCCTCCCCGCTTGAGCCGGCCGAGGGACGAGGAAGAAGTCCTGCTCCAGGTTGATGGAGTCTTCCCCAGATCCAGAGGGGACCTTGGAGCAGGACAAACTGGCGTTCAGCAACCTCCCCTGCTTCTCTAAGCCTGATTCTTTACCTGGGAACTAGGCGTGAAAACCTGCCCTCATCCTATTGGCCCAAACCTGCTCTTCTCTCTCCAGAACCAAATAAAGACACCCAGACATGAAACCAAGAGAAAATTGAAAAAGCCTCATCTGCCTGCAGTCCCAGTTCTCAGGAGCTGAGGTGGGAGGGTGGCTTGAGCCTAGGAGTCCAGGGCCAGCCTGGGCAACACAGGGAGACCCCGCCTGTGTTGGGCCCCGGTGTCTGTCTGATGGGCAATGTGTTTGCTCTCAAATGGCTGAAAACCTCTAAGGTCACGCCATTCCTGGACCCGCGTCCCACAGGGAGCCACAAAGGTTGGTTTTTTTTGTTTTTTTGTTTTTTTTTTTTTTTTTTGAGAGAGAGAGAGCGAATTTTAATATTTATTTTTCAGTTCTCGGCGGACACAACATCTTTGTTTGTATGTGGTGCTGAGGATCGAACCCGGGCCGCACGCATGCCAGGCGAGCGCGCCACCGCTCGAGCCACATCCCCAGCCCACAAAGGTTGTTATGTAGGGAAGGCAACAGATGTTCTCACCTCCAATCCCCCCCAGACCCTGCTTCTTTATCCCATGAACACCCCTGAACTGGAGCTTTGGGGGGCAGGTTTGAGACCTGCTCTCCATCTTCATGCTTGACTCTCCAATAAACCAGGTCTCTCTGGCGAACTCCTTTTCCCCCCGGAGTTTCAGTGCCGGCAGGCAGCCTGCAGGGCAAAGCAGGTCTGGTGGGGTACAGACGGCAACACCCCCTAATGTAGGCATCCCCAGGTCCACCCGGAAACAGATTCAGGCAGGGATGCACGAACACCTGGACACTCAGCCTGCCAGGGGAGGGTGCGGTGGAGCCAGTCTCCCTGAAAATTGATTCGCTCACTTCCTGTGGTCCCCACAACCCCACCCTGGGGGACCCGGTCTTTCTGCCCAGGGTGCCAGCTCAGCTCCCTGTAGTGCGCACGCTGGCTTCCATTCTAAATTCTCCTTCTGAACTGCATTTCAACTAGACTCCGACACCCCGCACACACATCCGGAGGCAGGTGGCTTGTTTGGGTGACACATCTCCCTCTGCACTGTGCCTGGCAGGTGAGGGGCCAGTGATTCCATGTTTACCAACCCCGATAGCCACGGCCTGGCTTGGGCTTTAACCCTGGCTGTTCCCGCTTCTGTCCTGCGCTTTCCAGGGGCCACCCGCCCCACGCCTCCTGCCTTCCGCCTTCGGGTCTTTGCTCAGGTCACCTCTCTGCGGGGCGCCCCAGAGCACCCAGAGCGCCCCATTCACCCTGAGCGCAACGCTGTCTCCCTTGCCCTCCTAGGGGGGGACTCCTCTGCCCGGCTGGCCTCGCTCTCCGAAGTAGGATCTTGTCCTCATCTAGAAGTTGGTTCCTGGGGACCCTGGACTGTGAACTGCACCGACCTCCCCCGGGACACCCCTGCAGTCCCAACCCGCACAGGAGGTGGCCTTGGGGGCTGCCCACCTGGTGCTGCTTCCTGCCGGCCTCAGGGCCTTGGCGCTGCTCCTCGGGCCTCACCTGCTCCTCTCTCCACACCCCTCTGCTCCCTCGCTCCAGGGGCCGTGCTGTTCTAGAACATTCCCCACCTGGTGCATCCGTGGCCTGGTTCTCCCAGCCTGGTTCATTCTGTCCGTTAGTCATTCAACAAATGTCAGCTCTTTCCCATGACGGGCACAGCGTTGGAGCTTGGGACACCACAAAGACAGGATAGACCCCATTCCACCTGGGGAGCTGGACCTGAGCGGCTCTGCTGCCCCTCCCCTCTGTGCCCACCTGCCCTGGTGCAGGCAGGACCCTGCAGCCACTGCCAGGGCCCTTTGCCAGGGGCTGCTGTGTGTGGAGGGGGCGCTGAGGTTGGAAAGCCGGAGGAGGGGGTCGATATCTGGAGGCTGCTCCGTGGGGGAGCCGCAGGGGTAGGCTGCAAGCTCCCGGGACTGTCCTCACAGACGGGCTCTGTGTAGGGAACCTGGGCAGCCTGGCAGCATTTCCCACGGGGCCCCTCTAGCCTCTGGGCGGCAGCCACTTGCCGGTTACTAACCTCTGGGCAACCTGCACTTGCCCTTGTTGCACCTGCTGACAGCAGTACCTTGTCACCAATTTCTCTATTAAACTCCCTGACAACCATCACTGGTGTGCCACGGAGAACAAGTCAGCGCGCAGGGAGCAGCCGGACTCTGAAGGTCAAGGGAGGAGCTGCAGAAAAGGTTGCATTGTTAATAGGGTGGTCAGGGGCGCCCTCCCTGGGAGTGTGGCATTTGAGGAAAGTTAACTACAGTTAAATTCAAATTACACCCCTGCAGGGAAGTCCGGCTACGCGGTTAGACACAGCAGATAGTTAT